AAGTCACCTTCCCTTACCCATACTATGACAACACAACTATCCTTACGGGTTTGTCTGCTTGAATTCTTACCCATCCCTGGGGAATGCTTTCTCCATTAGGGGGCTGAGAGAAGCTTTTTTTTTTTTTTTTAATATTTTTTTCCACATGATTATTTTATTTACTTACTTATTCATTCATTTTATTTTAATATGACCAGAGAGAGACAGGGAGAGAGAGAGAGAGTGAGAAAGCAAGTCACCAGGTCTGGGACTTAAACCATGGTCAGCCATGTGAGAGTGTCCAGCACCTTAACCACCATACATCTGCTGGTCCCAGGAGAAGCTTTTTTAACTCTAATATACTTCGGTGGCTTTCCTCACATATAAACAAGGTCCGCACCCCCTGGCATGAACATAAAAATCTTTATTATCAAGTCTCTGCATGTATTTTCAGCCTTCTCTCAGTATGTACTGCATACATACTGAAAAATAATTGTAGATCTGGGGTGTCACTAGATAGATAAATCCAGGGACACTTTATCATTTTCTGAAATTTTAAAATGTACATATCCCAAGTAGTTAAAATTCTACTTCTATGTAGAATGTAACTTAGAGCAGTGGTTTTCAAATTTGGGTGTAAACCAGAACTACCTGGAGGGTAATAAAGAATACAGAGGTAGGAAGCTTCTTGAAGATAGGACCTGACCTTTGTTTTTGGGAGTTGTTTTTTTAGAGATTTTTACTACAGGGCATGTGCATTCACTGAAAAGACAGAGAGAAAATGAGAAAATGAGATGGCCACACAGCAATCCCTTCTCTTTCATTCTCCTTTTGGGATTTTGGGCATGCTTGCACATGTGCCTGGTGTGATTTTCAAACTCCCAGGTCTGGGACTAGAACTGTGGTTAGCCATGTGGGAGTCTAGCACCTTAATCACTATGCACTTGCTGGCCCCCATCATGTACATTTTTAAGGGCTACACTGTATTCCACTGCATTAGATTATCAATGTTCAATGACTTTTCTTTATAAATAAACATTTTACATTTTTTTCTGGTTGTAAATGTGGTTAAAACTCTGCAGATTATAATATGACTAACAACCATGTACTCTATCTAGTATGAACAAATCTTTAGGTCTTTATCACCTTATAACTTGATTCTCCCTCTTATCTCCTTCCCTTTGCTTCTTCTTTATAGGTAAGTACTATCACGGGTTTGGTATATGTCATTCCAATTTATGTTGTATGTATCTTTATTTAGACAGCATGTGTGCTTATCAGAGAGAGAGAGAGAAAGAGTGAGAAAGTACCCCCTAATGGAGCGTGGTCATGCCACAATCCTTTTGCTCCATTTATCCACACCATCAGCATCCTGGGGATACATGCCCACGCATGACTGACATGTTTTTTAAGCCACCAGAGCTGGGACTGAAACCATGGTCGGCCATGTGAGATCTCGTTCTCTTAACCACTGAACTATGGGCTCAGCCCTCTGGTATATTTTTAAAAACCTCCATATATTTATTATGTGTCTAAAATAGCATATAAAAAGTATCATGTACGTATCATTTTTCTACTTGGTTTTTCAATATTTTCATGTTAATATATGAAGATCTAATAAACTTTGTTATAAAGTATTCAAGTATATGTATATATGCTAATTTATTTATTTCCCTACTTACTTACATGGAGGATTTTTCAAATTCTCACTATGACAAGTGTTAGCATGCACACATTCATATTATACATGTTTCCCAGAACAAAGTGTTCATTTTGGATTAGCAAACTTTTCTTCAGAGAGCTAGATTTGGCACTTTGCAGCTGTATACTTTCTGATCTCTGTTACAACTACTCAACCCTGCTGGAGGTGAAAAGAGTCACAGACAATACCTAAATGGATAGGTGGGCTACATTTTTTTTTTTTTTTGAGAGAGATTTTTGCTATAGGGTATGTGCACTCACTGGAAAGACAGAGAGACAGAAAGCGAGAAATCACCCCCCAGGGGGATGGCCACAGCACAATCCCTTCTTGTCCATTCTCCTCTCAGGATCCTGGGCACGCACGCACATGTGCCCAGCGAGTTTCAAGCTATCTGGTCCAGGACTTGAAGTGCAGTCACTACATGGGAGTCCAACAATGTAACTATTATGCCATCTGCTGGCCCCAAGGTAAGCTTCATTTTAAAAGATCATGGTTTATAAAACCAGGCCACAGTGAGATTTTTGTCTTTAGGCTACAATTTATTGGTCTTTCTTTAGGGCAGTAGCACTCAAACTTTGTTGGGCAAGTTACCACCTGGGGTGCTTTGTAAAATACAAAGGTCCAGGGGCCAGCAGGTGGTGTAGTGGTTAAAGCTCTGGAATACCACATGGCAAACGTAGCTGGAGTCCTGGACTTGGAGGCTTGAAACTCATGTCAGGCACATGTGCATGTGTGTCCCAAATCCTGAGAGAATAGAGGAGAAGGGACTGTGGCGTGGCCATGCCCCCTGGAGGGGGGAGATTGCTCACTTTCCTTCACTGTCTCACTCTCTCTCTCTTTCTCTGGCAAGTACATGTGCCCTATGGCAAAAACCTAAAAAAAAAATGTACACAAGGAAACATAATAATTGATTTAATTGTCCTGACTGTTTTGTATAGAATACAAAACTGTCCATGCAGTAAAGATATAATTATGTTTAAAATAACAACAAAAATAAAATGCAATCTTTTTTCATTTCTTTTTCTTTTTTTTTTTTTAGCTGATTTAGTTATTGATTGATTGGGATATTCTTTTCAATTTACATATGCATACAAAAATTACTAAAAATAAAAAAACAGTAGATATGTTTGACTTTTTAGTAGTATTTTTGTCTTTAGTTTTCCAAATAATACAAAATATATATAAATATTTAAAATGCCATTAACTTTATGACTTTTGTAACAGTGAGATCTAACTGAATACCCAATGTCCATTCTCCTCTTTTTCCCACTTACACTCAGTAAAAATCTACTTTTCCCAGCCCCTCTTGCAAATGAGGTTTTCTAGATGATACAGTTCTAGCTAGTGAGATATAAAGGGAAGTTGCTGGGTACAGCATCTTAGAAAGCTCTTTGAAGGGGAGTAGACCTACGTGCTCTGCACCTCTATCCTTTGCCTTTCATCTGCTGCTTTCTTTGAATTAGGATGTAAGCAGGTGAGAAGGTGAAATAGGCTATCTACCAGCATGGGGAAAAAAGCTGTTTCCTAAAGAGTAGCAGATTAGAGAGCTCCTGAAACACTCAGATAAGAAGCCATTTTAAATCTGAGGTGTGTCCTAGTGTATTCAGGGACCGAGGCAACTAAAGCTATGCTCTAAACCTCACCTCCTAAACCCCGTGAAACACTCAGACAAGGGTCACTGAAATTCTCAATGCTTATTGAACCTCCTTCTTTAAGGAAGAAACTTTTTTATAAATCTGAACTCATAATCTCTTTCTATGGATACCGCATTACAAAACACAATAGAAGAGAGATTTTGTCACAGAATAACCAGAAACCACTACAGAGGCACAAGAAACATGAAAAACCAAGAAAATATCTTTCTCCTAAGTGAACAGAACAATCCTTCATCATCCATGTACAGTACAGTGGAACTCATGGAAATGTCTGATAGAGAATTCAGAATATTCATAGTGACAAAACTAAACGAGATCCAAGAGCTGAGAGACAATAAACTCTAGAAGATGCAGAAGACTCATTGAGTTCCAGGAGGTGAGGAAGTTCTTACACAATCTGAAAGATTAAATACACACCATAAAAAAGAGTCAAATGGTGCTGTTAGAGATGAAGGCTGCAATACAGGAAATTAAAATCTCCCTTGAAAGTATTAAAAGCAGATTAGTCCATGCAGAAGATCGAATCTCAGATGTTGAAGGCAAAACCTCTGACCTAGAAAAAAACACCAAAATGACTGATAAAATAACCAGGAAAAATGAGAGTACTATATGAGAAATACTAGATACCATTAAGCACCAAACATCTGGATAATTGGTATCCCAGAAGGTGAAGAAACTAATAAGGGCATCGATAATCTATTCCACAAAATCTTAGAAGAAAGCTTTCCAAATCTAGAGAGGCACTCAAATATCCAAAGGACCCCTAATAGAATCAACCCAACAAGATCTTGTCTTGGAGAAGACAATCATAGCCAGACTGGCCAAATCCACAAAGACAAGATAACTGAAATTGACAAGAGAGAAACCTCAGATTATTTATAAAGGCTATCCCATGAGGCTAACATCAGACCTCTCATCAGAAACAATGTGATCATGGGAACCAGCAGTTAGCGTAATGGCTATGTCTCTGGACTCCCACGTAGTCGACCGTGGTTCGCGTCCCGGACCCGGTGGCTTAAACCTCACGCCAGGCACGTGTGCGTGCCTGCCCAAGATCCCGAGAGGAGAATGGAGGAGAAGGGATTGCGGCGTGACCATCCCCCCTGGAGGGTGATTTCTCACTTTCTG